TGGTTTATGACATGGTATCAGAGCCTAGAACTGAAAGGTCATGTGTTCGAATCTTCACGACCTCCAATATTAACCGTTGTTGTTAGGATATGACTTGAATTTGATATGGGTTTGTTTTGTGTTTTGGGCCTATTCTGTTTGGGTTTGTGTTTGGGCTTTGTTTGACCTTTTCCTTGTATGTTTGGGAAAAGGTATTTGGTTTTCTGTTTGGGATTAGGAGAAGAGTTGTATAAATACTCTTCATCATCCTAGTCTGTAGTAAGGTCAGTCAGGTTAGTTTGTTTGATTTGTCCGTTTGGAATTTGGGTTTGTAACCTGTACTCTCCTCAAATCAGTGAAATTTGTTCTCCTTTGCCCGTGGATTAGCTAGCACACATTGTGTTAGTGAACCACGTTAAATTTGTGTTCGTTCGTGCTGGTTTGGATTATCGATTGCCACGCTTCTGTTCTGACAAGTGGTATCAGAGTCGCGGTTGATATTGAAATTTTGGAATCGGTGCTGATTGCGGTTTTGGGAAATCAGCGTACAAATTAGCGCAATTCGCTTTGCTTAGCAGTCCGCTCCGGCCGTTCTCAGGCAGCTCTTCTCTTGGAAGTTTGGTTTCGAATTGGTGATTGAGTTGACTCCGTCTCTGGAATTCAGCGTGTGAATTTTTTGGGGAGCTTTGTCTCTTAATGAAGTTGGAATCTCGGCATTGATTGGTGGGAATTAAAAGTTGGCACTCAACTTTTATATCAAGGCCCTCGTTAGTAATTTTCTGGGGACTTTGGAAATCACACTGCTTTGGAATTATTAAGTTGTGAATCGTTCTTCACCTAGAGCTTGACTTCAGCTTGCGGGTTGGGATTTTGGTAGCTTTGTTGGTTGGAATTAATTTGTGGATCACGTTTGTTTTTTTGGGAGGTTATTGGAATTTGTTTTGGAATTATTTGGTGGTATTTATTCAGAAGAAAATTTGGGAATTTGGAATTTGCGGCAAGGAGCTAGTTGGCGGATCAATTGGAATTTGGAAGCAATTACTTGAATTTATTGTGTTCGGTAATAGCTTGTGGTTTGAGGAGAATTCTGTTTGTTGTCCTTGGTGGTGATCAGGGTTTTCGATCACCAAGGATGTTTGTTATGGATTTGAAGATCGAGAAGTCAATTTGGAGTTTCAGGTTTGGAGTTAGCAGTAAATTTGTTGTTGGTGTTATGGACGGAAATAACACCAAGTTGGTTCTGCATGGCAAGTTCCAACATGGGTTGGACTTGTTGCATGTTTTGATTTGTTAACCGCCCTTAGTGGCATTTGGAGGCAGGGGAGATTCTGGTACAACTGATTTGGAGGAGTTTGTTATGTCTGGCAATTTTGATTGCATCTGAATTTGGCGATTTGCATCGCGTTTGAGTTTGGCGGTTTCGATCGCATTTGGATACGTCTGGCGATATGTATAGCGTTTGGGTACATCTGGCAACTTTGGTTGCGTCTGGTACATCTGGAACCATTGGTTGCGTCTGGTACATCTGGTATTTGACAGAGAATTCAAGTCAAGGTGGAGATTGTTAGGATATGACTTGAATTTGATATGGGTTTGTTTTGTGTTTTGGGCCTATTCTGTTTGGGTTTGTGTTTGGGCTTTGTTTGACCTTTTCCTTGTATGTTTGGGAAAAGGTATTTGGTTTTCTGTTTGGGATTAGGAGAAGAGTTGTATAAATACTCTTCATCATCCTAGTCTGTAGTAAGGTCAGTCAGGTTAGTTTGTTTGATTTGTCCGTTTGGAATTTGGGTTTGTAACCTGTACTTAGGGGTGTTCATTCGGGTTCGGTTTTTCGGGTTTACCCGAAACCGACCCGATTATGTACATTTTCGGTTTTTCGGGTTCGGGTTCATTTCGGGTTTCGGGTTTTTCGGTTTCGGGTTCGGTTTTGCTTATCGGTTTTTCGGGTTCCGGCTAAAAACCTCCAATGAATAGAACTCAGCCCGTATTTTTAAACTTACGGGTTTTCGGGTTTCGGTTTTGCTTTAATCGAACCCGAACCCGATAAGGAATTTTCGGGTTTCGGTTACCTGAAACCCGCAAGTCCTTATCGGGTTCGGGTTCGGTTTTAATGATTTTCGGTTTCGAGTTTTCGGGTTTTTTCGGGTTTCGGTTTGGATAACCGAACCCGACCCGAACCGACACCCCTACCTGTACTCTCCTCAAATCAGTGAAATTTGTTCTCCTCTGCCCGTGGATTAGCTAGCACACATTGTGTTAGTGAACCACGTTAAATTTGTGTTCGTTCGTGCTGGTTTGGATTATCGATTGCCACGCTTCTGTTCTGACAGTTGTCTTTCAAGCACATGGTATGGTGGACCTGTGCAAACTTCAAGCCCATGGGTTGGCTTTCGTTTGAGGGGGCGTGTTAGAGAGTGGCTTCTCCCAACAACTTGAGTTATTGGGATAGTGAGTGGCTTTCGTTTGAGTGGCTTTCGTTTGAGGGGGCGTGGTAGTGTTGTGGTGTATGAACCACAATTGAACCTCTCCCAACAACTCGAGTTATTGGGACCAACTGGTTTATGACAACATTGGCCTGGTACACACTGGAACATGCAACTGATGATCTCCCAGCAGCACCAGTTCTCTTTTTCGTTCTTTCTTTCTGTTCCGTTACAGTTTGGATTTATTGTTTTCTTGTCTGTGAACGAAAGCAAATTTCTTGGTTGCTTCATCGGTATATATATATTTGTTTACGGTTTGTATGGATGTGCTTGGGGAGATCGATCTCGGAGTTGCACGTTTTTCTTTTCTTTTCCCGCGGTTCTCTTTCCGGAGATACCAGTAGTGTTGAAATTACTTTCGTTAGCTGGTACAAAATTAAACTAGCATTATGGCCGCGGACGACTGATTTGTCAGGCATATGATTTTTTTTTTTTTTTTTGGGTTTAACCAATGTTTTCAGTAGCAGACCGGATGTTGAACCGGAAAAGTTAGTGGTTGATGGTTAACCGTTAAAGAACTATTGATAAACTATTGACAGAACTGTTCATGTGCTATAACATAAAAGACATACATAATACACTAATTTAGAAGTGAAATGATCACTAACCGTAAAAAAAAAAAAATCAAATCCATAGTATATAATCAAAAAGTTCTAACATAGTACTCAAACTATCTCCCAAAAGAAATTAGTTCTTTTTTTTAATTAAATTCAAGTTAGTAATCAGCTTGGCTGTCCATAGTGGACCTAATAAAGCTTACAATGAAGCTTGAAAATGAAGAAAATAAAGCATAAATAAAATTAGTGATTGAGGTTGGATGATTTTAATTTATGTTAATGTATTTTCTTGATTTTTAGTTGAGACATTGAAATCAACAGACATTTTTTTATATGCAATATTTATGGTGTAAGATTGTGAAACTTATCCATCATTGTCAGCCGGTATATGTAGATCGTCACCTGATCGAACTCGTGAAACTGCTACGTATAGTTGTTCATGAGTGAACACAGGTTTTGATAAGTAACCCCCCACTATGTTGAGACTTTGTCATTGAATCTTGTTTATCATTTATCGCATACCACAATTTAATTGGAAACTGAATCCTCTTCAAGATGAATGGCCAGCGATGTCAGTGACATTGAGCACAATACTCCGAAGAGCACAATACCCGATAAGAAATTTTCGGGTATTCGGGTAACCGTAACCCACAAGTCCTTATTGGGTTCGGGTTCGGTTTCAATGATTTTCGGTTTCGGGGTTCGATTCGGGTAACCGAACCCGACCCAAACTGACACCCCTCGGTGCAAGCCGGAGATTCTACGCTCCGAAGCTCAGTTGCAGCAAAGATCATCTCTCCTATGCAGTGAAGTGCACAATATATGAGAGAAGTGAAAACACAAGGAGCTTGCGAGTTGCTATACAAGAGGTTGGCAATCATCTCTACGTGAAGCAGAAAGCAAACAGAAATTGGTTACACAGCTCCCTGGATCCTGATCTCAGCCTGTCAATGGGCAAACAATAAATGGTTACAGAGCTTAATTTACACAAACGCCAGAATTCTCTTTCAATTATGGTTGGGCGGAAACTTGAGATTGAAATTGTGGTCTTTACCTATATCAAAAACTGTATTCTTTAGCCACCCAAAGTATCATTGTTCAGGAACCAAAGAAACAGACAACTTTCGACATCACATATGAGAGCTCTCTGTGGACATTCTTCAGGGGCTCTCTCCTTGTGGTCATTCCTGTACCGATTCCCTCATACTTTTCTGCCAAAAAGAATAAAAGGGCTAAGTAGTTTATTTTAGTTTAATTTGTGCCGACTTTCGGTTTCAACTGAGAGGTGTTAAATAAAGAAATAAATAAAAAGAAGTAAGAAAGGAGAGATCTTTTGATGTTGAGTGCGAAGAGATGTCCATGGATCTGCAGTATGTTATGTTAAGCATATAATGAAACCTTATGAGGGATTCTGTCGAATCGTGCTCTCATCACTCATCAGCTTGAAACAACGACGTTGAAAAACAAGATCACTCAGCATCTTGATTGTTACAATCATAATATGACTCTGTTAGTTATTAGCCATCACCAAGTACTCCAAGCAATTTGTACTGGTACTTTTATAGCGAAGAACCTGCAGGGATGGATACGTTTTAGAGCGAATGACAACACTAATAACCACAGCAGTAGTTTAGCGAAATAGACAAGAAAGATGAACAGAAGAATACAAAAGGTTGTGAGAAGTGAGCACGATGCCCCTTTTGCACGACCAATTATCAAATATGGGGGGAAAGAGTATGAAGAAAGATATATTGTTCTGGTGATGAGTGCTAACAAATACTTATTGGTCAGCATTATTTGCTCGACTTGATATCACAACCAAGGATAACTAGGCATAGTTCAGGGTTGTGACAAAATCAGCAAAAATCGAAGCTTACCAGGAGATTAAGGATCATAAGCTTGATTCTGCCTGGCCATTCTCTTTGCCTTCTCCTCAGAGATCGCCTAAAAGGAATGCTAAGCTAGCTTTAGCAGATAAAAATTATAGATATGACTTTTGAAAATATATAGACAGCTGGTGAAGAGAGAACAGAGGGAGGTAAGAGAGAAGAAAGTTCCAAACCTGTAGTATTTGCGGGAAGTTGTTCCAGTAATCCTCATTCAACAAATACTCCCCACCTATCTTAATGTATTTCCCACAAATTTTGATATTCGGGACGTGGGAGATGTTGTGCCAATACAAAGTCTCCTCCAACCCTAGACATTCATCAATTCTAATCTCTTGCAAAGAGGTGAGGTGTTGCATTCCGTGCAGCCATTCCTTTGGGGGATAATAAATTCCACCGATGTGCATTTTCTTCAGTTTGGACAGAGGGTACTGCAGGCCTTCCACTTCACATGAAGAAGAGGGATATAATGATGATGACGAACAAGAAGTGCTAGATGGTACAATATGCCCTATCACTGACATGTTCATTGTGTCTAGTAGCGGTTGTATGTTAGAGTACAACAACTCTAGCTCCGTATCAAGTCTTGGGAATGATGGCATTGAAGTTAGAAGAGGACATTGGGAAATGACCAGTTTGGAAAGTTTAGGGAACTGGGGAGGCTTCCTCCTCCATCCTTTTAATCGAGGACAACCCCTCAGAGCAAGGTCCTTGAGGGAGGGGAAGAATGGTTTGGATTCATTCTTTTGCGCACCTTCATTCATCACCCAGCTATCGACATCTTCATCTTCATCCATGTGCTCCAATTCAATCAACCCACCAAGGATGAGCTTTTCAAGAATCGGCAATCCTTGCAGATGGTGCAATTCATGATGCAATTTGCACCAAGCCAGTTGAAGAGTAACAAGCTGATTGAGAGAATTCATCCAAATAGGTAATCTCCTTCCTATATATCCTTTCACGGAGAAGGTTTTTAAATTGGAGTGCGGCTGGAGGCTTTCTAGCAAGCTTTCATCAAATTGAACATCTTCTTCACACCCCTTTAAGCATGCTGCCATTTCTTCCCTTCCTTTTCTAGTATTTCCATCATCCCACAGCAGGGACAAATGTTCAAGATGGGTCTTCCCCTTAAGATTAGCTTCCCCACCTATTGTAAATGCTAGTGATGGTGATGACAATATTTTAGTGCCACGAAGATGTCCCAGATTCACAATCTGAAGTATGCCTCTCAAGTTGTTTAGGTTTTTCAGCTCACTCAAGCCACCTCTATGCTTATGAACGGAACTATCCCTTCCCACCACAAACCATGATAATCTTTCAAGGCGGCTCAGTTCACCAAGCCCGACTGGCATATGGGTCAAGGCGAAACAGTCTCTACAATTAAGGACCCAGAGATTCACAAGTTTGTTAAAATCTTTTGGGAATTCCAGTAGGCTTCTACACCCACAAAGGTTAAGCACCTGTAAGTTTTGAAGCATAGTGACAGAGCTTGGCAACCTGCTTATTTTATCATTGAATGCAAGATTCAAATACCTAAGATGTTTCAGTTCTTGAAGGTGATGAGGCAACACTTCCATCCCTGAGTTCTTAAAATCAAGGACACGCAAACTTCCAGAATTTGAAACAAAAGTTTTAAAACTGAACTCATCCCAGGTCGTTCCTGATTGATACCATTTTTTATACGGGACATTAAATGCTCGCAGTCGTTTGGCTTTAGCAAGATGAGATGCAAGTTCTGAGGGACACCACAAGTCATGGTTCAATGAGATGTACCAAGTATTTTCAGTGATTTCATCTGCATGACCAGCTATTGAGACCGCAAGGTCGTGGATTAAATCGTGCATTTTACAACTCTCTATGTTGCCGAGCCAACCTCGTTTTATTTCTTGAAAAAAAGACCTCCATGTCAAATCCATAAGATACTCAAGACCCAAACTAAACAAACTTTGTTTAGAACCATTAGGTGATGATTTAATAAGCCCCAGTGCAATCCATTTATATATGAGTTGGTTAACATCAATTTCGTAGTCTTTGGGGAACAAACTACACAACACGAAGCAACGTTTCAGATGTGAGGGAAGATAATCATAGCTCAGCTTTAAGTTGTGTAGTATACTACCCTCCTGATCAGCACTTAAGAGTTTATCAGACCTAAGAAAAGACAACCACTCGGTTTGTGGATTTTTGAAATACAGTAAGCTAGCTAATGTTTTCACAGCTAAGGGAACCCCGACAGACTTTTTCATTACCTCTGTTTGAATCTCTTCCACATTGATTGTGTTATGTGGTTCATTAGCTAATTGATGGTCGCCGCCAGACACTACCAGCCTAAGCAATGACCATGATTGTGGGGAGGATAGTCCTTTCAAAACATGAGGTGGATGAGAAGAACCACGATTCATCATAGTGGCATAGTTCTCAATTCGGGTAGTGACTAAGATCTTGCTTCCACTCCCACCACCATTGAGTATCGATCTCAAGACCTCCCATTTTCCAAGATCGAAGTTCCATACATCGTCCAGTACCAGAAGGTACTTCTTCCCACTAATGTATCCCTCAAGCTGGCTTGCCAGAGTCTGAAGTTGAAGACCTGGTTGTTTCCCTCCCGTGGCTGCCTCTAGAATCTTTTGGACAAGAACGTCAACCTCAAAAGACTCTGACACACATACCCACATTCTCGAATTAAACTCCTGATCGACTTTTTTATCGTTATAGACAAGCTGAGCAAGTGCGGTTTTACCCATCCCACCGATACCAACTATGGAAACCACAGAGACGTTACTTCTACTATCGTTAGCTAACAGAAGTTCCTTAATCTTCTTCGCATCATCTTCTCTCCCGACGAATATGTCAGGGATGGAAGATATGGTGGGGGTATGCTTCCTCGTCTTCCCTGTCTCCTCAAAACGAGGAGTCAGGTGCAATTTGGTGTTATCAGCATGTATAGCTTCCAATTGCTCCCTAAGTGTCTTAACTTTATGAGCCATTTTAAGACCATAAATCAATCGGTTTGGAACAGATAAAAGGAAGCATACCGCAGCCCAACATCCGATCTTGCAGCTGTTGAAGGAGTCATCACGATGCCTACCATCGTGGTCCTGTGTGGTCGCTTCCTCCCGCAGAGCCTCAGTAGCAACATCGTCAAGTAGGTCGTCGGCGTCAAGCAACAAGAGCTCCAGTTTCTGGAGCCAGTCTTTGACTTGATGACTGTGCTCCTGTTGCTCCTCCGCATCAAGTAGAAGTGCCTGAATGGAAGTCATGGTGCCATCCAGCTTCTTGAGTTCAGATCGAAGGTTCCACAGCAGAGCTGCCTCCTGTTGAACAAAAGGACCCAACTTCTCAAGAATTGTTTTGCCAACGCTGAACAGAGATATAGAAGCCATCTTTTTTTTTGTGAAAGGGGTGTAGAGAAAGAGAAGAGTTTGCTGGTTTATTTGGTTCTGTATGAAAGACTGAAATGCAACCCCTTATTTAACATGTCAAAGATCATGGTCAATGTTATCAAGCCATCATCATCACATGGGCTGCCATTACATTTCCTGATTCTAATTAATGTTATCAAGTCATCGTTGACTAATTACTGAGTTGGCATGTTATCACATCACATGGGCTGGCATTCATTTGCTAATTCTGATTTATGTTTAACTCTCACGATGGTATGCCATTAGACTAACAGTGATTAATATATATATATATATCAATACTAATCCACTAAAGATTCATCCACCTTTCAAGTTCCCACACCATCTCTGAAGAGTAATGGAGATTGGATAAGACTGAGTTGGCAATTAGCACCCACTCAGAACTCGACCAGTGACAGTAGTAAGAGGAGGTACCTGGCCTGGCCACAGTGGCTCCGGAGAATTCACATGCCCTGCTCTGCTTTTCCGGCGAAGACAACCCCCACGAACTAACAAAATCGAATCAAGTTTTTAATTAGAATCATGAGTCTCAGGCGACAACTTAAAACATTCAGGCGCGAACTGAAAGAGGGAACGGTTGGACTGAAGAGGAAGGAATAGAACGGACCTTGTTAAGTCAAAGATCCCTTGCCGCCATCGGGATTCGGGACCAGCTTCTCGCCGGCGCCGGGGCAGACCAACCATATTCCCCTCGCCATCTCTTGTCTCGCAGGTCGCAGCTCTTTCGGTTGGAGAAATTGGCAAGAAAGAACAAAATATTTTATTTTTCTAATGTCGATACACGAGGCCTACTAATACGACCCGGCCCGGGTGGCCCATTCTCAGTGTCTCACGCAGTCCTGGACGCGACGGGCTCACTTCTTTGCCCATCGATGACGATTGCCCGTTTCATCTTTTCTCTAAATAGCATTTCTTACCTCTCCCTATTATTGTAAATTAACAAACATACACTTCTATTAATTTTTTGCATAAATATACTTTTTTTAGTATTAAAACGTAACAAATATACACTTTCTTCTAATTTTCTGTTAAATCACTATTTAATAAGCTGTAAAAACTGACATAATTTATTAATTTACAATAATAAAGGAATACGAAATGCTATTAACCCAAAGTAAAAACTGACATAACTTAGTAGCTACTGCCTACTAGTAGTTCGTGGATGACAGGAAGTGGACACTATAAAATTATTTGTTCTCTTAATATTTTTACAAATACCCTTAAGAGATATTTTATAATAAATTGTACATCATTGGCTTTTTATAATCTGAATGGCTAAACGTCGCCCTGATATTGCTTTTATCACCCTAATTTAAGCTATAAGATTACTAAATTATCCTTCCCATTCAAACCAAATTCAATAAAACAAATAGCCCTAAATTCCTAAAATCTGTAATCCTCCTTCGACCTTCATCACCGAATAACCACAGCGGATCAGCAACACCCAGCCCCCACTGCCGTCGGCGGTCAATCGATGCCCTCCGAAGAACACCATCTCACACTTTGCACTTGAATTTCGTCAGCCCCACACGCTTCCTGCACTTTGCACCTGTTCGCCTGCTTTTGCACCTGGACCGCCGACCGCCACACCTGCGCTACACCCTTCTCTTCTTCTCCGAACTCCGATCAAGCAATCGTGTCCGGCCTCGCAGACGTAGTGAAAATGGCAAATGGCAAGTAAAAATATACATTTATTGTTATCATGTCTTATATATTTATACAGTATAAGAACAAATTATAAAGGTATGGGTTGATTAGCTTCTTTATTCCCCAGGATGGCGGTTGCTGGCGACGGGAATCAGCCGGCAGTGGAGGCGGTTAAACAAATTTTATTTATTAATTGTGGTTATTAGAATAAAATATTTCTTAACAATAAAATATGTACAGATAAAGTGGTAATCTCACATTTTAAGTTAGGGCAATTTAGGGCGACGATTAACAATCCTCTTTATAATTAGTGGTTTGCATTTGTCACGTCTGTTTTGGATCGGATCAAACTCATGAGACTTGCGATTCATTGGTAAAAGATATTTTAGAATCAAATATTAGATCATATTCCATTTGGTCCGGCTTACTAAGATCAAAATGTCAATTCAATATATTTTCCTTTCATATTTATAAAATTCATAAGATCAAAAAACGTATCACATTATACTCACTTCAGCATGATCTAGTGCAAACGTTGATTTCGTCTGGTCATCTGGTGCAAATCAAACAAAACACAGTTGCACACCTATACTTTTTTATATAATCAATATGGGCTTTTATACAATCCTTCAATAATATATCCTCAAATAATATATAGTAGAGTTTTGTCTATTTTTTTCGATTTCAAATTTCCTGCAACGAGAGTGAAAGTAGGAAGGGTATTTGTGTCTTTACAATTAATTATTTATTCTGTATAAAAATGTCAAAATCAAGATTTGAACCCGGGTCTTCAAATAAAGACAACAATCACAACCAATTACACTAAAGAATTTGTTGTATCTTTTTTAATACAAAACATAGACAAAGTGACACTCTGAAAATCGGAGGATTTTTCCATCATGATTAAAAAGCCACTAAGTCTACCGTATTTATTTTTATGGTGCTTATACTGCAATTTTTATAGCAGAGTTTCATGTAGTTTTCTCAATTCTAAAATTAGTGCCCCCTCCTTAATTTTCACTAAAGGTAAATTGGTAATTGGCTAACATGGAAGAAACTAATTCTATTACTACGTGTTGTTTCATTGCATTTTTCATTTATATTTAAATTTAGTACGTTTTTATTTTTTGTTCTTATCTCTTTCTAACTTCCTCTGAAATTCCCTTCATCGTGCAGTAGTTTGCGCTCCTTTCACTTCACAGTACAAAGCCGCCTTTGAAAATTAATCTTCTGCTATGTCTTTGCAGTACGATTTAATTGTTGGAGATTTAAACTGGTAAGTAGAAGATTTCAACTCCTATACCAATCCATGACGAATAGAATGGAGTTCAATAAATGGAGTTGCAGAAGGAGGATTGGAAATTAAATTTTTGGTTGAAACATAGGCTTCTTGAGATTGAAGATAGAGTGAATAAAATTTTGATTGTATAACAGAGAGTGGTGGCTATTGATTGATTTATAGAAGTAGGCAGGTCGATTATTTATTCAACCTACTGGAACTGATAAAGAAGGAGTGTCTAATTTTGTTTCTTATGACTTTGATCGAGTATTAGTATATTGGAGGTAACCCTAATATCGGCGTTTGCTCTCAAGTTTTGATGGTCCCCTCTTAGCTGAGTTGTTAGTATATAGTTGGCTTGAATCAACAACTCTCAATTTCTTTGTGATTAGTGACATGTTGTTCCTAAAAGGAGAGCATTGAACATTTATGTAGGGTTGCGAGGTTTAAGATTTAGTTTCAAACTATTTATGGTTCGTGTGAGAATTTTTTTTAATTTTTTTTTATAAATCGTGTGAGAATCTCAGTGAGCTTTTATACTCTGTCTTTCTTGACAATCAACTAACCAATAGCATTTTACCGGAGAATTCATTATCATTATGAAAAATGGGATCAATGATATATTTTTATATTATTAAATGATGATGATATTTGTCCAAATGTTCGACCTATATATTTTTTCTATATGTATCATCTCAATCGAAAGATTATCAATAAAATTAACCAGTTTGATAGAATTAAATGTAGCATAAAAATATAAATAATCAAATATGATTATTCCGATCAACGGGTCGGGTTATAAGCTAGTTACAAATACAGCAGGCCAAGCCTTGTGCGATCTCTCTCATTTCATTACTCACGTCACCTGCCTCGGTATTTGAGACCTTAACATTCATGCTCTGGTATAGAAATTGTTACTTGTCGGAGCGGCGAAGCTTTATTCTCGAGTTCAGCATTCTGATTTCGGCTGATTCACTCTTTTCCTGCTCTAGGAGCTCTTAACCTGACACCTTTCGGATAATGTGGGAAACCCGATTTCGGGTTAGAGAGGGAGAGGGCCGGTCGGCCAAAGAGGGGGAGGGAAGGAGTGGCAAACTTGTTATTTTGTGTTATTTCGGTTTACTGCTACTTAAGGATGCATTTCATTAGTTTTGGAAATTAAGCAATAATAATCAGAAATTCCCAAATCCCTAATCCCTATTCTCCCTCTTGTTCTTCCCCAATTCTCCAAATCCCTAAATTCTGCTCTTCTCAATCCCTAATATCCCAATTGGGATTTCTTGTGTCCTACATCTGGTATCAGAGCCTCCGATCGTCAATGAGTTCTTCCCAACTCTCGGACCTGTCATGGGCAGAACTGCGGAACCGAGCTCGCAGCATCTGTCGAAGGTGGCAGCCCGCAGAGCAGGAGGCCGCGCGACCCGTCTCGGCCGCCCCCACTGTAACACCCGTTCTGAACACTAGCTTTTACATACAATACATAAAACTTGTAAAAGGATTTTCGGGCCCGATTTGAAAATTTACAATTCAAAGTACAAAAAGGTAAACCATTTGACAGTGGATTTCATGTGGAAACTTGTTCAGTCTTCCGCCCACCTCATGAATCAAAACTTGAAGCTTGAAGCTACTACTCCTACTTCAAGCATTTCTTGCTGCTGCTTAGGATCTGGGGAAAAATATTTGACGAAGGGTGAGTCGTCACTCAATGAGTAAATTCTAAACCTAAATGAACAACAATACTTAAGCGGTATTTAGCATGATACTCTTTAGTTACACGTAATTTGCTGCTCACTCCTGATCCCTATCATTCCATCTATAACAATTCGGTATCTAATTATAATTCTAATCATCAATGGAAGAATTATCTCTTTAATTATTCAATGGCAATCACTTCAGTATCCGTTCATCACGGTGCTAAGGCACCTGGTGTCACTATCGGTATCTAACATAGGATATCGCAACTAAGAACCTCTAATGATAGGCAATCACATGTTGGTGCTAGGGCACCATTTAGTTATTCACATATACTCATCAA